GAAAAATGAACAGAAGCCATTGACCCATAATTCAAATGCAGCATTGAGCACTGAGCAGAGTTTATGTTATTAAAAACAAGAAAGTGTGAGGATATCTGCAAGACCAAATATATATATATGCCCTTACCTAGATATTGCCATTGTTCTCAACACAGCAGATTGCAGAGCCAAGAGGGAACCAGCATGCTGAAAGCAAGACTCATTTTAGCTGAGCACAGGATTTGAGACCAGAGACAGGGTAGACATAACAGATTTAAAAACAAGCTATGGAGTCAACAGTGTACATATGTGTTGGAGTAAAATGTTTCCACTCTGAAGGACAGCAGTCACTTCTGACCTTGAGCAGAAGTCCCAGGATTGAGCATGCCCTGACCAACACCGTGGCTTACAGCTGGCAGTTACATCCCAGGCCTCCCAGAGGTAACTGGATTCGGGGACACTCCCCACTAACACTCTCCTCATGGAACTTTGCTAGGTTCCAGCCTGTTTCTATTAGCCAGGGGCCCCTGTCACTCTCCAAACAACACAAGTCACCTGAAGTCCCATTGGTGGTGTGCTTCACCAAGCAAAATGAGTCAAGGAATCCTTCATCTGTGGAAGTGCTGAAATCCAAACCGAAATGTGATTCGTTCTGCTTCAGCATTTCCTCAAATGACTCTATTAGGGAATGGCTGTGGCCCAGGGCTAATTACTGCATAATGGGTACAAAGCATCCTGGGATGCAGGCCCAGAGGGTGTCCAGGGACCACAGGGCCTCTGTGTACAGCCAGCCCTTCTCAAGATGACAGTGCACATTCACGTATCTACCATCATAAAGCGTACTGCTAAATCTGCACCAGGATGAAATTAAGCTTGTGATTATCTTGAGAGAGATTCCTGCCCTACCTCAGAGCAATTTGCTTCCCAGGTCAGCATGAAGAATTGGAGTCATACCTCTGGGATTTAAATCCTGTGTCTGTCACATCCTGACCACACAACTTTGGTTAAGATTCAACAGTTACTAAAGATAACGTACCTTCTTTGTCAGGATTAAATGAGACAATGTGTACCTAGACCCCAGCACTGTTCAGTCACATGGCAAGTCTCTGTTACCCTGCTTGGGTATTTTCCCATCTGTAACAAAGACAGAGTGGGCTTTAGATTTCTAAAGTGAAGTCAGCTTTTGCATGTTCTATGTACTTATTCAGGGATTTGGGAACATCTTGGTCTGAGGGCTTCAGGGAGAGCTATCAGACAAACAGAAAGAATTAAAAGATACCTCCTATGTTAAGCATTCATACCATTCTTGAACACTGGAAATCTTCATTTTAAAAAGAAAGAAAAAATGTTCAAAGCATCATTTAGAATGACTCTGTGGAACACAGGATGCATGGAAATCCAGTGCTCAGTGCTGAGAACAGCATATTAGAAGAAAAAGATATACTTTGCAAAGTTCCCAAGAATGGAGATTAAAATACATGAACAATTGGAAACTGGCTTCAGAGAGTGACGACACAGTGATAAAGCTTTCGGAGCATTCTCCGCCAACAAGATGCCTTTAGCAGCATCCAGGTGGGAAAGTCATTCCCCTCTAATGTGAGCTTGGAAGTTTCTTCTCATAAAACAGCCCATGGATTTTCTCCTCATCTACTGACATGCTGTGGAGCTGACCAGACAGAGGAGAATAAAATTCATTCTTTCATTGAGAAGTAGGAGTTTGCAGGGATGTAGGAACCCCACTCTCCCTTCAAGTTCCTATGGAGTCAGCTTCAAACAAAGCCTTTATGGACTCTCCAACAAGATGGAGACCCTCAGGCCTCGTGGCCAATATTCACCTGTGGGGGACAGTGAGGACAGATGCACCAGGCCTAGGATCCAGTGTGTACAGTTTCACCCAACTTCCCAGATCTGCCAAAACTCAAACCCCAAGTCCTTGCAGAGCACAAGACTCTGTCTGTTTCTGCTCCAAAGCCAGGGCTGTCCCATCAAACTAGACCCCCAGGAATACCTTCTTCGCCTTGGGAGATGTTCGGTCAGTCCTAGCAGAGGGAGCTGGTGGCCTCTCACCTGCTATGCTACCACCTACAATAGGGTCTGCTGGTGTCATCTCTTCATGACTCACTGGACATGGTGCTGAAAGGCTGGTGACTTTTTCAAAACTCAACATGATCGTTGAAACCTCTTGAGGTTCTCACTCTGTAGACTTCATGTCCTCTGTGCTCCTGGAATGAGGAACTCTAAACTTCAGCCTGCCTCTGGGTTTCGTCTTAGTCTCAGCATGGAGCTCAGTGCTAACAGATGATCTCACATCTCTAGCATCCAGGTTGAAAGGAGACAATGACATGCTGTTGGGCCTTGTGTTCAGGTGCACCCTCCTTTGTGAGTATACAGGTTCCTGCCTGGGTCTTAGGTCTTCCACTGTGGACCCTCACTCATGACCATGGATTTGGTTGCACAGAAATTGAATCAACCTCTTCCTCTTCTCATTCAAATTAAGAATTTGGCTTCTCAGGACAAATGGAAATTAGTCAACTCCAAGCTTCTGAAAAGCTGTCAGTTTCTTTTTCACGGCATGAAATGGAGGAACAGGGTGAGGGGGCTGATTGGTAACCCCCAAAGACATGTTCAGTCCTGAGACTGTATATTTGGGGAAAAGGTCTTTGCAGGCATAGTCAAATTATAGAATAATTTGAGCTCAGAATGGATTGTCCAGGTGAGTCTTAAATCCAGTGACAGGTTTCTTATAGGAGACAAAAGAGGAAAAAACATAGACATGGGCAGAAGGCCACATTAAGACAGACAGAAATTCAAGCCATCTGTCCAAAAGTCTAGGAATATTGGACCCACTAGAAGCTGAAAGAGAAAGGAAAGATCTTACCCTAGAATCTCACAAGAAAGCACAGCCCTAAGGATACCTTAAACTTGGGCTTTGGCTTCCAAGGTTATAAAAGAATAAATTGCTCATGTTTTAACCCCTAGTTGTGGTTATTCTCCAAGCAGCCTCTAGGCAGAGTCCACTGTCTCTAGGGACATAGGTTGTCTTCTCTAGACCTCATTTTTCAAGACATAAAACAAAAGAACAGCCTAAAGCAGCCTCTAGGATTCAATTGTATACAATTCCACGATTCTATGGCAACCAGTTGAAAATGATGGCATCACACTGAGCAGCCTGGATAGGACAAAGAGCCCCAGATATACAGCAGCCCTTGAAGAGAGGGGCTCACCTTCTTCCCTGTCCATCAGGATCACAGCTATGTGGGAGAAACCCAATTTGTGTGCCTTCCACCTTTTATAGAGTTGCCATATTTACTTACACACATTTGAAAATAACAAGCCCTGACCACAATGGGAATAGTAGCATAAGGAAGACTTTCAAATCCCAGAAACAAGCTCAGAAGAGGCCACGCTGGCCCTCTGTGTTGCCCACTCTTTATCGTCAAAGAACTGGTAAGGAAAAGACATCAGTTTTTTTTTTTTTTTTTTTTTTTTGTGGCAGAGCTTTTCATGGATAAACCTTGCTTTCATGTGGACAGGTTTTATTGCTTACAAATGGAGTTTTAAAAACTGTCAGTCTCAGTTATATTTATATATTGGAAACCTGTCCATATCTGTATCAATGCCTGCGTAGTATCAAAATGATGAAAATTCAGTCAATCAGACTAAATGAACTGTTTGCTCACCCTCTGGATATACTGAAAGATTGATTTATCTCCATAAAGATTTGATCACTCCCTACAAAGGCCTAGGAAAATAGTAATAATGATGAGGATGATGATGAGAATAATGGTTATAGTCATCATTTATGAGCACTGAACAAATGTGAGACACTCTATTAAGCATTTAAGAAATGTTAATTCATTTAATCCCCACAAAAACAGTGTCAGATGGAAATTAAGAAGATTACCTTGTAAACTGGGAAAGTGAGGCTCAGAGGTTTGGAATGACTTACCCAAGCTCTGACACTACAAAACAGGATTCCAACCAGCCTTTTCTCAGTGCAATGTCTGTGGCAGTCACACCACTTACAATGCACCCTGAAGAAAAGCCTAAGGCCTCCCCAGCCAGCAAAAGGAAGAGTTTCAGCCACAGGATCTGGAGGGGCTGGGGAGAGTGTGGGCACAGGGCCATGCTTTCTGGGATGCATGGAGTTTGTTATTCTATATATGCTGCATTAATGGAGATGTGGAGTAGCTTTAGGACAGCTCAGTAGAAAATTATGGTGATATGATGGGCCTGTGTGCGTATGTGTACATGGTGTCTATATGACTGTACTTGCATCTGGATGCTTGCATACGTATATGTGTATCTGTGTGTACATAACATTTTGGGTGCAGGTGTGTATATGTGTGTATGCACCTACTTGCATATTGTATGTATATATGTGTTTTCTGGACTTTGTGTGCACTCCCATATATGTATATGTGTAGACATATGTTACGTGTGTACATGTTGTGTGCACTGTGCTGCATGTATGCCTGAATGTGTTCATATGTATATACAAGCGCTTATGTGCACATTTGCAGGAAGGAAGAAAACAGGTTGTGGTATGAGCTGTAGTAGCAGCTCATTCAGGATAGTACCCAAAGTTGTCCCAACTGTTAACACTGAGAAGAAACTGTTAGCCAGTCACCCCATGTGTCCAAATCACTTCCCTCTCATCTCAGGGTTCTTCTGGTCAAGTTTTACCCTCAGGTAGAAGCCTACTGATCTGAGGGGCAAGAAAAGGGAGAACTGGCACCATTTCTGTGCTGAAGTTCCCTGCTCAGGCACGGGTCTGGATTTCTGCCAAGGGCAGTGCTGGAGGCTAAATCCTCACCATCAATTCCTTCCTAGGGCTAAGAAGCAGCATAAGATAGATAGCAGATGCAGATTGGTGTACATGCGGTGATATGGGTGCCCTGTGATAAGCACCTCTGGACATCCTCATGGGATCATGTAAAAGAGAGGAGGACATTAAAGCCAACTGTCCATTTGTTGCCTCTGCTCACCCATCAAAGAGCCTTGATGCTTGTGTCTTTCAGGAATTTGCTGACTCAGTGTCCCAGCTGGTCACACAGAAGTTCCGTGAGCTGACAGTGGGCTTGACATCTGTGCATGCCCGCCACAAAGCACTGGCAGGAATCGTCATGACCAAAGGTAACCACCTCTTCCCTTTCCTATGGGAACTCCTGGCTACAAAGAAAGGAATTTTAGGGTTTACTGATCTTCCAGCTTACTACCAGGTGGAAATGTGACAAAAACAATAGAGAACATAGCTCAGTGACAGATGTTATGATCAAGAACATCCACACTGACTAGGGACATAACTTGTGAAAACTTGTCTCTACACAAGCTTCTCTCACTTTCCATGAAGAAGCTGAAAAAGACTGGCTGGTCTCCCACATTAGGGATTTCCCCTATCTCATTTTCAAAAGCAGTGCTAGGATCTGTCAAAGCTGATATATGAAACCAGACCAAGTAAGTCACTTGAGGCTGGTAGATTAGGAGATGCCTCCCTGTCACAACTAACAAGCCCAAGACCAGGGGCTGATGCTGTTACTTATACAGAATAAGTGTGTCACCTCCGGTCTTTGACCCCAGACATTGAGATGGAACCCTCTTGGATATGGAAAGCCTGGTGTGGAAATGATCTTGCCAGAAGAGGCTGCTTGTCCATCTCTGGTTCCCATCATAAAGTGGCATCTATTAAAGTGTCTCAGTGTTGACCCTACATTCACTGCCACAAATGAAGGACTATGAGGAAAGGAAGGGAGGAACAGCAAGGAATGTCAGAGGACACAGGGAAACAGAGAAGACAATGGGGACAAAGAGGGATGCAAGGAGCTCAGCAGGGGATAGAAGATGCAAAGGGACCACAGAGACACAAAATGGAACACAGAAGGGACACAGAGACACAGGGGCATGGGAAGGATGATCAGGAACACAGAGAGGACAGATGGGGCGAGAAGAAACACAAAGGGGCATAGCAAAGTGGACACTGAGAGAAATAGGATGGGGGACACAGGACACAAAGGGGGACAAAGGGACACAGAGGGACACAAAGATATGAGGGAATGTAAAGAGGAGATAAAAGGGGGTAGGGGACACAGAGAGATATAGGAAAATACAGGGACACAGAAGGCTCAAGGGAACACAGGGAGATATAGAAAAACAGGAAGGAGACAAAGGGAACACAAGGGGACACAACAGGGCCACAAAGTGCACTAGAAGATGATAATTTTGTGCCGTGAGGAGTCAAAAAGTGACAGGGAACACAGAAGGATCCCAGAGGACACAGGGGGACACCAGGACACATGAGGAGACACAGAGATAGGGAGGCCCATTTCAGAGAGCTGTCATCTAAGAGGTCTAAGGCCCTCTTTCTGGGATGTAAACCACGCCAAGAGTAGCCTCCTTCCTATCCATGTTCTCCACACCAAACTTCTCTGGGATGGAATTCCATTCTAGGAAGCAAGAGTGACCAAACAGGAAAGAATCCCACCACTTCTTTAATAAGCCAGGTTGGTAGAAAATGGTGACTGAATTTAAGCAATCAAATTCATGAAAACACCTAATTACTGACCTATTATAAATAGCCAGCTAGTTATTTGAATTCAACTGTTTCCAAAGTTTTGCATGAGTTTGTAATGACCCATTAGAGGATGGTAATCATAAATAAAAATCAGCTTTTGGGTAATTTAAGTTTCATGTTCGCACACATGACTCTGCATGAGTAAGCCAAGTCTAGGGCTAAAGAGACCATACATTCTAAAGATTTCCCTACTAAACATTTCAATTAAAAAATCAGATGATTGGTATCTTCTTGCTGCTGTTCTGCACCCTCAAAGGCAACTCCACTATGAAAGGTTAGTGGAGCTGGCACAAAATCCTTGGGACCCTGTCTTGGAGGTAACACAGGGCATGGTATTTGGACTTTCCAGTTCTGGCATCTTGGTAAAACAAAAATGAAAATGCTTTCCCACAATGCCATTTGTTTTTTTTTAAAAAAAAAAGATAAAGTATACAAAATGCTTTGGAAGGGGAAAGTTGATTTATAGATACAGTGCTCTCTTCTCAGCCAAAGAAACTGTATTGTCAATGACCCCACTACAGTGGTGGCAAGCACACTGCTTTAACCACTAACATTTGCCCTCCTTTTACACATATGATGGTACAATAGGAAATACTCTAAATAGAACTCTGAGTTTACTCCAACCAAAGTCATCACTGCTGGATGTGACACTTTTTTATCCGTTCAGCTGGGAACCATATATTATATAGATGCCTCTAGGCATGGAGCATTATTTGGCGTGCCCTGAAAATTCAAGGAAAAGACACATCCTCCATTTAAGGGACAGCAACCATGGAGGGAGCCGTAATAGGAGGTCAGGGCTGAGGGCATGGTTCTTTCACAAATTTGCTTAGATTTGAAATCCAGTTTACCCACAGCCAGCTCTGTGACCCTAGGCCAGTCACTTAGCCTTGTTGAGACTCAAGTTTACTCATACTTTAAAACGGAGATAGTTGAGAAATATTTTTCCAAAACAGTTATTTGTAAGGCTAAATGTGTTTATAAAACACAGAAAGGCTCTTAACCATAGTAAGAACCACATAAGCATTAGTTATTACTAGTAATGACACCATTTTATTCACAGATTACTTACTGAATACCTACTATGCTAAGCTCTGGAGGACCAATACAGGACAGAAATGGACCAAATGCCCACCCTGATGAATCTTATATGCTAGTGGAGACTGGGTCAAAGCACAATTTAGATCCAATACAGAAAGGATTATGAGATTTCTGTGTACAGACCTGTAGGACCACATAAATAAAACTACATGAGATGCGACATAGACCTCTACCACAGATTCCTACATAGTGCAATTTAAATGAGCGTCTTGGTCTGCAAAGGAAAGAAAAGAGAGGGAAGGAAGGATAGAAGGAAAAGCACAGAGACCGATGGTTTACATGCTGCTCACCACACTGACTGAGAAAAGATTAGCTAGTAATGTGCAAAATAACTAACAGAAATATTTGTAAATATTCATCTATTTAAAATCAATGTGACCTGTTGTCTTAATTCTAGTTGTTATTCAAGCAAATGCCTACGGAACTCTAAGAGGAAGTAGTGTATTACTCTAGTTGCTTTCTCTAACACAATGCAATAAGGTTAAACGTGTTCTGAAGTAAAACATTCAATGTGGACCTTTATTTGTAGGCAAGATGCCAAAATCACTTCCATCAGTTGATTCATGGAAAGTTTTTTACTTTAGCGAGGTAGACACCCATTTTAGCCATTATAAGAAATACTGTTTCAAAGGTACATGCTTATAAACCGATAGTTGATTTATCTAAACAAATGCAGTGATATGGTAAAAATTCAAATAGGAGAAAACTTACAAATCAAAACTATATTTTCCCACCCCACTTCTCATGTCTCTTCCCACCTTAAAAAGCCATTTGTAACCATCTTTAATTTGTTCTTACAGCTCTAACTACCATATTGGTTCTACATTTCTGGATCTCCAGTTCTATAGTGGATAACATCTATCATCTCATGCTATTACAATTGATTCTTTTTCATGCTCCATTGTTATAGTTGCAATTTCTGTAATTTTAGATAATGCAAACTTTTGTTTTTTATGTTGCCACACTTACAGGACCTCAAGAATAGGAAAGAATATTAAATATAATGGATTGTAAAATATAAAAAGAAAAAAGACAGTTGAGCTTATAAATTTAAGAAGTTTTCAAAAACCCAAGAGTCAAAGAGTAATGAAACTAAAAATAAAATACAAGGTAAAATGTGGTTCATTTAGAATATTGAAAATTCAATAAAAAATATGTAAAGGGAAGAATTTATTAAAGAATTGATACAAGGAAGAAAACACACAAGTAACATTAAATATGGTTACGAAGGTGAATAGCTCCCCCTATAAACATTCTTCTGAAATCATAAAATACCCCAAGTTTAAAGGCACTGTCATGAGGAGAAAAATCAGAGGAGAAGAGACATTTGTTATAGCTTAGATCTACAATGTCCCCTAGAATTCTTATGTGTGAATATGATTGAATCATGGGGGCATCATAGCTGACGTGCTGTTAGGAGGTGGGGCACTGGCAGCATGATTTGGGAGGGTACATTCTTGTCCCCAGCTCCTCCTTGCTCTCTCTGATCCCTGGCTGCCATGATGTGAGCAGCTTTCCTCTGCTAGACTCTTGCATTATATATTTCCTGCCTTGAAACCAGATGACCTCAAACTGAATCCTCTTAAAGCTGTGTGGCAAAATAAACCTCTCATCCTTTAGGTTATGGCTGTTGGGTGTTGTGTCTCATGACAGAGAAATGATTAAGACAGAAGACCCCAAAAACTCTACCAAAAGACTTCTAGATTTAATAACCAAATTTAGTTGTGTAATTACATACAAAGCCACCATTCAAAAATCAATAGCATTTCTTACATAAACAACAAATTCACTGAAAGAGAATAACAGTCAAAAAATTAAATACTTCAGACTCAATCTAACAAAGGAAGTAAAATATCTATACATTGAAAATTACAGTACTCTGAAAAAGGAGATCAAAAAAGATATCAAAAAATGGAAAAATATTCGTTGCTTATGGATAGGAAGTACCATCATAGTGAAAATAGCCATACTCTCAGAATCATTATATAGATTTAATACAATCCAGATGTTGGTACCAAGAGTGGGGTTTTTACTGTGACTTTAACCAACCATGTGGTTTAGAAACCTTTGGATGTGACCAATACAACATTGATCCTGGAATATATAATCTTGGAAGCAATGGGTCAAATGAGAGAATGGTCCAGGTCCTGGGGTAGATTCTCTGGAAGAAGTTATTATAGAAGACATGAATCTAGTTAACCATGACTTAGAGGCTATGCAACTTAGCAAACATTAAAGGCTCATTCTTTTCTTTTTTTTTTTTTAGTATACTTTTTCCAAAAAAAAACAGGTACAATTTCAAAAAGCATGTATAAAGGTTGAACTACAAACATAAATCAAGTTTAAATAGGACATGATTTTGTGCTACTGATAAAAGTGACAAGAACATATAAGGCTTAACTATAGTGGACCTGCTCTTCTAGGGGAAAATTGTGTTGATGCAGTATTAAATATAATGCCAGTT